CTATTGCTACAGTTCACCATAATTCGTGAACCATGCATTTAAAAGCACAGTTCACCATATTTCTGTGGTATCCCTCTTTAATCAAAAAGCGGAAGTGTAGGTTGGGAACAATTGATCAGTGGCGAAGAAAACGAGTAAATTCGCCGATCTCAAGAAAAATACAGACTCTTAAAAGTAGGAAAACAGTGTTTGGACGAGAGTACCATGCCGGAACTAACATGGACTATGGCTTCACACGAATGTCTAGTAACAAATCAATCAAAATCACTCGAACCACGTTCTCTGTCTAAGGGTAAGCTCTGGTAATGCTGCTAAAATCGCAAGACTAGACATTGACATATAAGACACAGACGAGTGTCGAAGACACCTTTTCCAACTGAGTCCTGCTGTTTATATACCAAGACACGTTGTCCTCAGTGGGCATATGCCAGGATCTGCTACAGCAAAATGCCGTGGGCCCATGAAGCCACTCCGCCAAGTGCAGAAGGAGCCAGATGTCAGAATTTACATGAAAATGTGCGCTGTCAAAGGCACAACGGTCAACAAATCGGCTACAATTTCTTAACCTTTCTGAACTCTTTTCCTTGGACCTTCATATTAGCGTTAGCTTTTCATTAGATAGCTACTATCACAGTCGCAAAAGCTTCCCGAAGGGATGCAGAGAGAACCGTCACGCCAAGAGACGACTAAAAGGCAGGTAATGAACAAGACAGACACCAGACTTCTATTTGGATTGAGATTGCATCAGCAGAGCCCACAACGAGGATGGGAATCCCATGAGTTCATGAGACATTCCTAAATGATTCGTCGAGAAGAAACATCACTCTTGCCATGCTATCTTACACATTTCTGGTGTCTTTTCTTTATTGAAAGGTAACAAGTAATTAATATGACTAAGTCAGGGTTTTTTGTAGAGACAGGCAGCGGAAATGGAATCCTCGTTCCCTTTTTTGTCGACAACACCGTTGCATCCATAGACCGTGCCCGCAGGAAGGCGTTTAATCTTAACAGATTCTTTTCGAGATTTTCCGGTAAAAAAGAAAGTTCAGACAGATAGTGGATTTGTTGGAAAATGATTCCAATCAGGTCGAAAAGCCTTCAACTCACTGCTTTTCCCTTTTTGTCAATGCGTGGTTTGAGGATTTTGAGCAGTTTCTCTCGTAGCAACTGCGTATTATTCTGTGAAAAGGACCTGAAGAAAAGTGTGTTCGAATAAACTAAAGAAAAATTGACAGTACTGCTGTCGAAAAGGGAGAACGGACTGATTTCCTGTGATAACCATGTCAGCCTTCACAGTGTTCGGTGACTTCAAATATTCCAGCGCCTTTGCTGCCCACTCATCGCTCCATTTCTGTAGACGGATAATTACCAGTGAATTTGACTACCAGCTGGATCGTTTGATAAAACATACCAGTCTGTCGCTGTAGAGCGAGATAAAAGCCTTGAATGTATCTTTCGATTCTTGAGGTAGTGGGTCTCCTGAGCCTCGAATATTAGCAAGTCAAAACTTCGAGCTGTCGTGTTGAAAGATGGAGGTTGTTTTTACCTTGGGCTGCAATATATAGTTGGAAGAAAACGAGCGCTGCCATATGCCATATATATATGGAAGAAAATAAACACTATGAGGTAGCATAACATTTGGAAGGCCACAAATGTTCTTAACGAATTTCGAATTTATAGGACAGGTGAATTATTTAGCTGCTACAGAGCAGTTGTGAAAATACAGATATAGAGAATATTGTCATAACGATTTTTAAAATAACAAAAACACATCATAAAAGTATGCGCTATTCTTCGTCCCGTTTTGCTGTTAGAGCCATTGATCCGCATGTCGTCCATCATAATCCAAAAATACTACAGCAATAAGAAAATCAAGACAAACCTTGGAAAGTACAAAATTCGTGGTCGCTGGCGATCAGCTCTCTTTTTCATGAAACTTTTAAGACGGTTGTTACCCCGTGTGAAGGAAAAGGATTGTCACAAACAGCTTGCAAGGGAAATTTCAGAAGGCGTCTTCATGAAGAACTTCTTTTCTTTTTCATTCTGTTGAGAGCGGAGCTGGAGCATAAGCCTTGATCAGAACAAATTCCCATTTGAAGCCTCGGACATTTCCGTCGAAGTCGAATGCACAGTGCGTCGTGGAAGTGTTTCCGCAGTACTCATTAACTTATTTTAGTCCGTGGCCTTGGTTTTGAGCCACACGAGAACTCTTTCGACTCACGTGCTCCTATGGTAGAGTCAACTCTTCAATTTTATGAGTTCCTTGTCTCCTGAGGTCTCGATAAACCACAGCCAACCCTTGATTTCCATATCCACTATGCTAAACATACACGTCAGATGGGATTCACAGCCGAATAGACTGCGATTAGCCTTCACCTGCTTTCACCGGCTTTCAATTGAAATGAACTTCTTTGTCATTCAATTTTTTTTACATCACCTTTCATCGGGTTCCGCAGTTGTTAGCCCTTTTCCTTGTAGAGTCATCTTATGTCTGAAAGATAGAGGATGAAGTGTTGGGGCATTAAACAATCCCATCTAAGGGATGTAGCCCCGCATTCGGCTACCATTCA